CAAAAAAATGCATGGTATTTCGAAATGCCAACAAAGCACCCCCGACCAATTGAAAGATCGTTCATTTATCTTTCTAATGATATTAGAATGAAAAAATAATATTAATAATAAGTGCGCCCGCCGAGTACTTGAAGTGGGGTACCCTCGTTTAAAAACGTGACAAAATTTTTCAGCGTAACGTCAAAACACGGGAAATTAACGTTTTTCAACTTACGTTTATGAAATTAATAAAATGAACACATATATAAAAATTATATCAAACAAAAGAACAGGATATCGGCTTCCAAAATATTTTAAAATTATTACAAAATATTAAATAGCCACCGTATGACGTTAAGTTGAAAAAGGGTTACAAATCAGGAAAAAATGACTTTCTTCCAACGCGGGCAATGGAGCTGTGACACCTACTAATAAACAACTACACCAAGTTTGAACTTTATAACTCAATTGGAAAGAGAGTTATTGTGTTCCAAAGTCTTGGTCAATCAAATTGATTAAAATTATCGCTCTGCTTACCCTAAGCAGAAAATCCTCATTATCGAACTTAGTCAAGGTATTGATGTAATAAAACTATAGTCAAGTTTCATCACTCTCACTTAATCTCAGAAACTACTTGTCGGATTGATTCGATGTCTTTGGTTTTACTGGGAAAGTGGGTTTGACTTAAATTTTAAAGCTATTTCCAACGTTCTGAGACAATGCGAAATGTCCGAAATCACCGAAGTTGTTGTTTTTCGATATTTTGCCGTAATGTTATCAATAATTGTCGGATTGTAATATTTGATACATTTTGACATAGCCAGAGACAAGGCACATAGCTAAGGTTCTTTGGATTTTTTATTTTCGACGAATCTTCGGAGATATTAGGCGCCAAATTTTGAAAATTTAAATTTTTACAAAATACTTTTTTATTAATGAATATTTTTATGTGGTATTTTACCAAGGGTTAAAGGGTCATCAGACCGTATTTTTCCTTGGCTCCCACTGGCTAATTCAGTTTTTCAGTCCTGGATTAATTATTTATTGTTCGATTTGTATAAAACAAAGTTCATATGTTCTGCGGTCCAAAATGTCATTTTTTTTTGTTACCGGTACATTTTCCTTTCGGCAACGGAAGTAACATAAATTTAGCAAAAACTGCAATTTTGAGAGTTCGGTACCACTTTTTGAAAGAAAATACTATTTTTTTCAAATCTGGTATGACTGAAAGGGTTTGCCCTGTTAATGTGCAGAAATCATCGCGCTCAGTTTTTTTAATTTTTATTTCGTTTTCAGATCATTTCGATTTAAAGGTGAAAAAGGGTGAAAAAAGGTGAAAAAATGAGCTATTTACAACCCATTCAGGCTTTTCATATTTCAAAATATTTCTTCACAACTTTCATAAACTTGTAGCATTAATCCATACGAAGAGAATCTATGTCAAAATTAGTTTGTAATATGAGTATTTGCCGAGAAATGGTCAATTTTGCATGAGTCACTTTTTATGCTATTTTGCCTGTAAAAGAGCCAATTATTATCGGATTTTCATAAACATGACACCATTTGATGCATAATGTCAATTTTGACTAGTTCAAACCAACTTAACATTTTCAATGTCACTGGAAATGGCGCCATTTCGGCAAAAAATGTATTTATAGCCTTCAAAACAGATATTTTATTTAAATGAGTCTGATTTGTAATGTTTTCAAAATTAAGATATTTGATTCCAATCAACTAATAGAATGAACCCATACGATCATATAGATATCACAAAATTTTTTCTAACTTGTTCAGTTGTGGAGAAATAGGCGATTTTCAGCAGGTCACTTTTCAAGGTTTTTTGGTCGATAAAAATGTCAATTATTATTCGATTTTCATAAAAATTTCACTGTGTGATACCTAATACCCTTTACGATTTCATACAAGTAATTTAGTATTTTCATTATCACCGGAAGTACCGTCACTTTGGCAAAAACTGTATTTTTAGCCTCTAAAAAAGTAATTGTTTGAAGTGAGCGATATTCATTGTTGGTGTAAAATTATGATATTTGATTCCTTTGGACAAATAGTATCAATCAATACGATCATATTGATATCACAAAATTGTTTCTAACATCTTCCCTTGCGAGAAATAACCAATTTTAAGATTTTTCGCAATTTAATTTCAGTGTATGGGTTCTGGGTTAATTATTTATTGCCTGATTTGTGTAAAAGAAAAGCCCACCTGGTGCAAATTCTCAACTTACTTCTACCTATAAAAGTTTCTGTCGGCACCGGAAGTGACGCAATTTTGCCCAAAACTTCAATTTTGACAATTCAAAAGGTCATTTAAAAAGCAAATATTAATGTTTACAAATCTAATAGATCAAGATGAATGCTCATACTAAAGACGCAAAATATGTCTTGCTTTGTTTTGTTTTTTTTTATTTCAGTTTTGCATTTGCATCATTTTGATTTAAAGCTGAAAAAAAAGATTTTTAATATTTTAAAATATTTCTTGACAACTTTCACGAACCTGTAGCATTAATCCATACAATGACAATTTATGTCAAAATCAGTTTGTAATATTAGCAGTTGCTAAAAGTGTTAATTATAATCCGATTTTCTATTTTTTTACACCATATGATGATGCCTAATGCCATTTTTGACTGGGCGGATCCAATTTTACATTTTCACTGTCACCAGAAATGGCGTCATATGAGCAAAAACTGTATTTATAGCCTTCAAAACAGATATTTTATTCAAATGAGTCTGATTTGTAATGTTTTTAAAATTATGACATTTGACTGCAATCAACAAATAGAATGAACCAATACGATCATACAGATACCACAAAATGGTTCCTAACTTTTACGGTTGCAGAGAAATAGACGATTTTCTACAAGTCACTTTTCAAGGTTTTTGGTCTATAAGTGTCAATTATTATTCGATTTTCATAAAATTTTTCACCATGTGATGCCTGATGCCATTTATGATTTCATGGAACTAATTTAACATTTTCATTATCACCGGAAGTAATGTTGTTTTGACAAAAACTGTATTTTTAGCCTTCAAAACAAATGTTTTTTGAAGTGAGTTATATTTATTATTCGTTTAACATTATGATATTTGATTCCAATGGAGATATAGATTGGATCAATACAATCATATAGATGTCCAAAAATTGCTTCTACCATCTTTCTTTAACGAGAAATAACCAATTTTGTCAGGATCATTTTTTAAGACTTTTTTCACATTTTAAGTTTCCATTAGATAGTCGGCTAACTTAGTGGTAAGTTAGTAATAAATTTGTCAGAATCACTTTTTTGACATATCTTACGCTTGGTAACAAATGTATAAATGGAATTGATATTGTAGTGGAGTAAAAATAACATTTGACCTAGAATAAATTGCAAGAAATTGTTTTTTGTCATTTTTCGACTCTATGGGACTTGTAAGTCACAAATATGAAAATCGGACAAAATCGGCCCTCAGATAAGTGTTCTACAGGGGTCAAAGTTCAAGGTCATGTCAAAATGAGGTAAAAATGAAAGAATTGTCATAAAATCCTTAATATTTGTCATAAAGTATCAAACTTAGTGTCAAACTATGGGTTTACAGGGGTGCTGAATCCAATGCAACCATTATTTATGTCGCGCGACGTCGCTATGATGTCATTTGGGAATGACGTCATGACTCTTAATTCCGCGATTTATTATCATAATAGGGCCCTAATAGAGTATCGACACATGACTTTATACATGGGGTTATCGAGGATGGACAATACAATGCAACACTCAGTTTTGACACGTGACGTCACGATGACGTCATTTAGAAATGACGTCACAACTGACGTTTGATGGAAATAATGAAAGTACGTTCAGAAATTCAGGGAGGTCAGACAATCAAGAAAGAAAATGCAGCGACAAAACGCATTTTTGAGAGACCATTTCAATAGAATCCGATCTACTAGGTATTTCGTTTCAAGAATTACAACTATAGCTTTCGTTATAAACAATATTTTCTCTTATTACAATTAAAAATATCAATAAAAATGAAGGGCAAATGCAAGACAATTTAATGATTATAAATATTCACATAGATTGTAGAATCTAGAAATAATTTCTAAACGAAAAACTTCAATATTATCTTAAGTTTTAATACCTCACCGTACGACATATGACTGGGTAACTCGTAGTTACCTTGTCCGGAGTTACCCGATCCCGCTGTTTTTCTGATCCTCGAAAATCTCCGATTTTGGAAGCCGACTGAGACTAGAAAAAGAGGAGATATGACCTGAATCCTTTTCTGCTTTGAAGTTTTCATGTCATTCTTCCAACCGAGTATAAATTCGACAGAATGGGAGTCTTGGTAAAACTATGAATAAAGACGAAATCTTGACAATATGCAATATTTTGGGTAACGCCATTTCTACAACATGAGGAGTTACCCGATCCTAGAAATGGCGTTACCCAAAATGTCGCATACCTTGTCAAAATTTCAACTCTATTCGTAGTATTTCAAGAGTCGCATTGTGTCGAATTTGTACTCAAATGATAGATGAAAACGTAAACTTCACTGCTGAAAAGGATTCTGGTGAAATCTCATTTGCGTTTAACCTTAGGCAGGGCCCAAACTCAGTGATTTTCGAGGATCAGAAAAAAGGCAGGATCGGGTAACTCCGGACAAGGTAACTCCGAGTTACCCAGTCATATGTCGCACGGTGATACCTTACGGAAGGCTCAGTAGCAACTGCAGTAAAAAGCGCAACTGATATACGACTGACTATATACAAACAATCTTGAAGTTGTTCCACTAAGAAAGTCCAGTAAAAGGCTGATCCTTTCTTATTAGAACAACTTCAAGGATTTATAGTTACATAGCATTTGTCAACAGCAGAGAAACATAAATAAATTAACTTAAACAAAATTATTAATTTGTAAAAATCCCTAAAAATCCATAATAGAAGTATTATAGTTTAATTTAGAATAAATCCAAATCTATATCATCCTCATCTTCATCATTGTCCTGCTCTGTTTCAGGTAGGATACAGTTCGTACAGTGGTCCTGTTGGCATGGTAGACCATATTTCCTACAGGAGCAATTGGTATGCTGACACCCTGTCGTGCAATTACAGTGGATGAGTATTAGTAGATATTCTGGAGCGGAATTAAGAGTCATGACGTCATTCCCAAATGACGTCATGACGTCAAAGCGACGCCACGTGACATAAATAATGGTTGCATTGGATTCAGCACCCCTGAAAAGCCATAGTTTGACACTAAGTTTGATACTTTATGACAAATATTAAGGATTTTATGACAATTCATTCATTTTTACCTCATTTTGACATGACCTTGAACTTTGACCCCTGTAGAACACTTATCTGAGGGCTGATTTTGTTCGATTTTCATATTTGCGACTTACAAGTCCCATAGCGTCGAAAAATGACAAAAAACAATTTCTTGCAATTTATTCTCGGTCCATCACTATTTTCTGCTATTTTTACTCGACTATTGCTGGATTTGGTTGATTCTGCGTCCATTTCATAAAACGTGTGCAATTCTTATGTGGAAATCTGTTTAACTGTTTCATTGGTACCAAATGTTACATAAGTTCAATGGTAACGAGGCACCGGAAGTGACATAAGTTCAAGAGTAACGTGGCACCAGTGAAACCCGTCATTTCTACTTCGCAGTTCTAGTTAGAACTAAAGTTATTGTGTTCCAAAACATCAACCAATAAAATTGCTTATCTCTGCTTACCCTAAGCAGAAACTGCTTATCTTCTAACTCCATCAAGGCATTCACCTAATAAACATCCACACCAAGTTTGAACATTCTAGCTCAATTAGAAGGAAAGTTATTCTGTCCCAAAAAATGTGACGGACAGACAGACAGACGAAAGAACCCATTTTAATATCCCCCCGCCTCTCGAAGAACAACAAATAGGTACCACCCTGTTATTGAAATGATTGATATGCTGAATTTGAACAAAATCTGTTAATTATTGCAACCTGTATAGTATTTACCGATAAAAACTAACAACCAGCGGCTGCCAGGCAGGATACGACCACATTTTCGAGAGATGGACCGAGAACAAGCTAAAAAGAAAGTGATTTTTCGTACAATCAGGGGCCATAATTCAGGAAGTTACAGTCCGATATGCGCGAATATCGAAAGGAACCATGATCTTTGGATTATAAACTTACATTGCAAGTTTCAACAAAATCGGATAAAAATTGTGACCTCTATATGGTCCACAACCTTGATATACCATATTTTTACGCTATTTGAGAACGGAGGGTGGCCATTTTGTCTGTCGGTTTTGGGCCGATTTTCACAAAATTTGAACTCAGTCGTCCTTAGGGTCTAACGGCGATACAACTATATGTTTTTTTTAAATCGGATAAAAATTATGACCTGTATAGGGTCCACAAGCTAAAAACGCGATTTTTCGTACAATCAGGGGCCATAATTCAGGAAGTTGCGGTCCGATATGCGCGAATAGCGAATGGAACCACGATCTTTGGGTTATAAACTTACATTTCAAGTTTCAACAAAATCAGATAAAAATTGTGACCTCTATAGGGTCCACAACCTGAAATACCATATTTTTACGCTATTTGAGAACGAGGGGCAGCCATTTTGTCTGTCAGTTTTGGGGCAATTTTCACGAAATTTGAACTCAGTCGTCCTTAGGGTGTAACGGTGATATAATAATACCTTTTTTTTAAATCGGATAAAAATTATGACCTCTATAGGGTCCACAAGATAAAAAGAAAGTGATTTTTCGTAAAATCAGGGGCCATAATTCAGGAAGTTACGGTCCGATATGCGCGAATATCAAAAGGAACCACGATCTTTGGATTATAAACTTACATTGCAAGTTTCAACAAAATCGGATAAAAATTGTGACCTCTATATGGTCCACAACCTTGATATACCATATTTGAACTCAGTCGTCCTTAGGGTCTAACGGCGATACAATTATACGTTTTTTTAAATCGGATAAAAATTATGACCTGTATAGGGTCCACAAGCTAAAAACGCGATTTTTTGTACAATCAGGGGCCATATTTCAGGAAGTTGTAGTCCAATATGCGCGAATAGCGAAAGGAACAACGATCTTTGGGTTATAAACTTACATTTCAAGTTTCAACAAAATCAGATAACCAGCGGCTGCCAGGCAGGATACGCCCACATTTTCGAGAGATGGATAGAGAACAAGCTAAGAAGAAAGTGATTTTTCCTACAATCAAGGGCCATAATTCAGGAAATTACAATTCGATATGCGCAAATATCGAAAGGAAACGAGATCCTTGTGTTATAAACTTACATTTCAAGTTTCAACAAAATCGGATAAAAATTGTGACCTCTACAGGGTCCACAACCTTGATATATCATATTTTTACGCTATTTGAGAACGAACGGCGGCCATTTTGTCTCTCAGTTTTGGACCGATTTTCATGAAATTCGAACTTAGCCGTCCTTAGGGTGTAACGGCCATTTTGTCTCTCAGTTTTGGACCGATTTTGGCGAAATTCGAACCCAGCCGTCCTTAGGGTTTAGCGGTGATATAATAACACGGTTTTTTAAATCGGATAAAAATTATGACCTCTATAGGGTCCACAAGCTAAAAATGCGATTTTTCGTACAATCATGGGCCATAATTCAGGAAGTTAGGGTCCGATATGCGCGAATATCGAAAGGAACCACGATCTTTGGGTTATAATCATACATTTCAAGTTTAAACTAAATCGGATAAAAATTGTGACCTCTACATTGTTCACAAGCTAAAAACGTGATTTTTCGTACAATTGTGACCTGTAGACTGTTCACAAACAATTGTGGACTGACGTCCGGATGGACGGACGGACGGACAGGGGCGACGACAATATACGTCCACATGAAAATGTGGGCGTATAAAAAAGTGGGTGTGATACCACACCCCTGGAGGTCGGGACATGCACCAAAATAAATAGTTGCTATCCTTACATTATAAGGTATAAATATGCTAAGTTCCAAGATGATCAATTTAGAATTCCAGCCTGTAGACAAAAAAACACAAAAATTGGGCATGGTTCTGACCCTGGGGGTTGGACATGGACCAATATATATAGGTAAAACTATATGCTGGATCAATCCAAATTGGTTTCAAATCTGTTAATAATTGCAACCTGTACATCATTTAAAGACAAAATATCAACAAAAAGTGGGTGTGGCACTGCCAAAAGGGCTTGTGCACCAACATCAATAGTTGCCGTTTTTTGGGTATCAGGAATAAGTATAACATGTTCCAAGATAATCCATTCAGAATTGTGGCCTTCGGGCGCTAAGGTCAAAAATTAGGCTTGGCTCTGTCCCTGGGGGTCGGGGAATTCACCAAAATCAATAGTTGACGCCCTTAGCCTATAAGGAATACATATGCTAAGTACCAAGTTGATCCATTCAGAATTGTGGCCTGTAAACAATAAACACAATAATTAGGCGTGGCTCTGCCCCTGGGGGTCGGGACATGCAGTTGTCGTCCTTAGGTTATAAGGAATACATACCGAAAGTTCAAAGACGACCCATTAAGAATCGTGGCATGTAATGTGGACGTATAAAAATAACTATTTCCCTGAGAGCTCTAAACAATGACTGCTACCCGTAATTGTATGAATGCACTGATTCAGTATTTGCCATAAAAAAAATTTCTATAGCTAACCTTGATGGCTGGAGGTGCAATAGGTATGTAGTTATCTCCTTTATGATAAGTAATTGATTCTTGACCAATAATTAAAGCTCCACCAAATGGTTCTGGTACTGTAAAAACAAGTGGTTGTCATACAAGATACGCTCACATTTGGCAAGAGATGGACAGAAAACAAGTCATTTCAGGACTAACACATGGTTCAATATTTTATTTCAATAATTCGTAGTAGGGTTCTTTAGCAGTGAGAGGAAACCTGAGGACCCGGAAAAACCTGACGAGGTTGGACAGCCGACGCTACTCCTTGTCACGTACAAACAGGGAATCGAAACCCAATCAGTGGACTCAATGACAGACCGTATGATACACCGTGCAAGGGCTAACCATTCAGCTATCCACACAACCCAGGAAGTTATGGTCCTATATCCACGAATATCATCAGGAATCAAAATCTCTGGGAAAACATATATTTTAAGTTTCATCCAAATCGCATGACCAGCCAGGCAGGATACGCCCACATTTTGCAAGAGATGGATAGAGAACAAGCTAAAAACAAACACGATTTTTTTAACAATAAGGGGCCATAATCCAGAAAGTTACGGCCTGAAATGCGGAAATATCAAAAGGGACTCAGTTTTTTGGAATATAAAAAAACGTTTTGTTTTAAGTTTATCAAAATCGAATAAAAATTGTGACCTCTAGAGGGTCCATAACCTTTCTATTACATACTTATACACAATTTGCATACAAAGAACGGACATTTTGTCGGTCAGTTTCATTTCGATTTTCCTGAAATTCCAATTCAACCTTCATTATGATGGAATGGTGATATATCTGAACGGTTTTTAAAATCGGATAAAAAAATTGTGACCTCTAGAGAATCCACAAGCTAAAAATGCAATTTTTCGACCAATCAGGGGCCATAATCCAGGAAGTTATGTTTGCATATGTGTGATTATCCAAAGGAACCAAGATCTTTATGATAAAAACATATAGAGGGCCCACAACATTGATATACCATATTTTTACACTATTTGCGTACAAAAGGCGGCCATTATATCCATCATTTTTTTTCTGATTTTCATAAAATTCAAACTCAACCATCATTAGTGTATAACTGTTGATATATTCACACGTTTTTTTTTTAAATCGGATACAAATTGTGACCACAAGCTCAAAGATAGGTTGCCAGGCAACGAAAAATACTCCCACAGCACCTAGAATCAAGGGCCATAATTCAGGAAATTATAATTTGATATGCGCAAATATCGAAAGGAACAGAAATCTTTGGGTTATAAAATTACATTTCAAGTTTCAACAAAATCGGATAAAAATTGTGATCCCTATAGGGTCCACAACCTTGATATACCATATTTTTAAGCTATTTGAGAACGAGGGGCGGCCATTTTGTCTGTTAGTTTTGGGCCGATTTTCATGAAATTCGAACTTAGCCGTCCTTAGGGTGTAACGGTGATATAATAATACGTTTTTTTAAATCGGATAAAAATTATGACCTCTATAGGGTCCACAAGCTAAAAACGCTATTTTTCGTACAATCATGTGCCATAATTCAGGAAATTACGGTCCGATATGCGCGAATATCGAAAGGAACCGAGATCTTTGGGTTATAGACTTACATTTCAAGTTCCAACAAAATCGGATAAAAATTGTGACCCCTATAGGGTCCACAACCTTGATATACCATTTTCTTACGCTATTTTAGAACGAACGGCGGCCATTTTGTCTGTCAATTTTCACGAAATTCGAATTCAGTCGTCCCTAGGGTGTAACGGTGATATAATAATACGTTTTTTTAAATCGGATAAAAATTATGACTTCTATAGGGTCCACAAGCTAAAAACGCGATTTTTCGTACAAACATGGGCCATAATTCAGGAAGTTACAGTCCGATATGCGCGAATATCGAAAGGAACTGAGATCTTTGGGTTATAAACTTACATTTCAAGTTTCAACAAAATCGGATAAATATTGTGACCTCAATAGGGTCCACAAGCTAAAAACGTGATTTTTCGTACAAACAGGGGCCATAATCCATGAAGTTTCTATCCGATACATGCCAATATTGAAAGAAGCCGAGATCTTTTGGAGATAAACCTATATTTCAAGTTTCATCAAAATCGGATAAGAATTGTGACCTGTAGAGTGTCCACAAACAATTGTGGACGGACGGACAGGGGCGACGACAAGATAAGTCCACATGAAAATGTGGGCGTATAAAAATCAATATACTTGTTCATCTCAGGATCTTAAATGTATAAATTTCAAGTCAATCGGATATTAACTTTAGCCTCTAGAGCGTCCACAATATTTTTCAAAGTGATCAAGGGCCATAACTCTGGCAAAAATTATCAGAAATCGCTGAAAATCAATAGGCTTCTTCGTCTCATGACCTTAAACACTATATATCAATTTAAAGCCAATTGGATATTAACTTTAGCCTCTAGTGTCCACAAGATTTTTCAACGTGATCAAGGGCCATAACTCTGGCAGTAATTATCAGAAATCGCTGAAAATCAATAGGCTTCTTCGTCTCATGACCTTAAACACTGTGTATAAATTTAAAGTCAATCGGATATTAACTTTGACCTCTAGGGCGTCCACAAGATTTGTCAACGTGATCAAGGGCCATAACTCTGTCAGTAATTATCGGACATCGCTGAAAATCAATAGGCTTCTTCGTCTCATGACCTTGTACACTGTGTATAAAGTTAAAGTCAATCGGATATTAACTTTGACCTCTAGAGTGTCTACAAGATTTTTTGAAGTGATCAAGGGCCATAACTCTGGCAGTAATTATCGAAAATCGTTGAAAATCAATAGGCTTCTTTGTCTCATGACCTTAAACACTGTGTATAAATTTAAAGTCAATCGGATATTAACTTTGACCTCTAGAGCGTCTACAAGATTTTTTGAAGTGATCAAGGGCCATAACTCTGGCAGTAATTATCGAAAATCGTTGAAAATCAATAGGCTTGTTTGTCTCATGACCTTAAACACTGTGTATAAATTTAAAGTTAATCGAATATTAACTTTGACCTCTAAAGCGTCCACAAGATTTTTTGAAGTGATCAAGGGCCATAACTCTGACAGTAATTATCGAAAATCGCTGAAAATCAATAGGCTTCTTCGTCTCATGACCCTAAACACTGTGTATAAATTTAAAGTCAATTGGATATTAACTTTAGCCTATAGAGCGTCCACAAGCAATTGTGGACGCCTGCCGGCAGGACGGGGGCAACAACAATATACGACCACATTTCAATGTGGGCGTATAAAAATTGTTACCTCTATAGGGTCCACAAGCTAAAAACGTGAATTTTCGTACAATCATGAAGTTACGGTCTGATACACGCCAATATCGAAAGGAACCAAGATTTTAGGGAGATAAATATATTTCAAGTTTCGTTGACATCGGATATGAATTGTGACCTGTAGAGTGTCCACAATTGTGGACGGACCGGATGGACGGACGACCGGACAGGGGCGAAGACAATATACGTCCACATAAAAAAGTGGGCGTGTAAAAATGTAGAAATATACGTCTCCCAATCTTATTCACAACATGTCTAATTTAAGCATTTCCCTTCGAGCCTCACATTGAGTCACACCTGTTTATATACGGTAAATCTGTCTCCAAAATAACTTTGCCCTTCAAGTTGAATAAACATACGGTGACACAAGGGCGACTTAAAATTCGCCCTAGATTCTTTGAAGGGCGAAATCAACAGTAGTTGAACGACTATTTTGCCCACTAGTGTGAGCCCTGGAGCAGCGGCCACTTTTTTCTGCAGTTTTGGTCTGATTTTCACAGCATTCAAACACAACTCTAATTATGGTGTAACGGTGATATATATTTAAACAGTTTTCTAAATCGAATAAAAATTGTGACATCTATAGGGAACACAAACTAAAAACGAGATTTTTCAAACAATCAGGGGCCAAAATCCAGGATAGTTTCCTTTTTAGAGAAGTTTTAACAGATTCCAAGAGTTTTTCAATACCTGATATGACCATGCAAGCTTCTGTTTCTACATTATCCTGTTTCCATGGGCCTTTCTGAAATTCTTTTTCTCTCTGAGATATTTCATATGTCTTTACATGTCGCCCATGTTGATCCTAGAAAAAAAGATAGGTTGCCAGGCAACGAAACATACGCCCACAGCAGCTATTTCTCTGGACAGTCAACAAGAGATGTCACATATTTTACTTTTTTCGGTAATGAAACATTTATAATACATTAAAATCTGATTAAGAGTAACAACTCATTAAGTAATTATCAGAAAACCATAAGAATTTATTTGGTTTTTATAAAGTTCTGCCCCATGCTAACGTTTATTATAGTATACAAAACTTTTAACATCATGAATTTAGCTGTTCAAGTCATAAAGATTCATTGAAAATCAATATACTTGTTCGTCTCAAGACCTTAAACACTGTGTATAAATTTAAAGTCAATCGGATATTAACTTTAGCCTCTAGAGCGTCCAAAAGATTTTTCAAAGTGATCAAGGGCCATAACTCTGGCAAAAATTATCGGAAATTGCTGAAAATCAATAGGATTCTTCGTCTCGTGGTCTTCAACACTGTATATAAATTTAAAGTCCATCGGATATTAACTTTAGCCTCTAGAGCGTCCACAAGAATTTTCAAAGTGATCAAGGGCCATAACTCTGGCAGTAATAATCGGAAATCGCTGAAAATCAATAAGCTTCATCGTCTCATGACCTTAAACACTGTGTATAAATTTAAAGTCAATCGAATATTAAATTTGGCCTCTGGAGCGTCCACAAGATTTTTTGAAGTGATCAAGGGCCATAACTCTGGCAGTAATTATCGAAAATCGTTGAAAATCAAAAGGCTTCTTCGTCTCATGACCTTAAACACTGTGTATAAATTTAAAGTCAATCGGATATTAAATTTGGCCTCTGGAGCGTCTACAAGATTTTTGAAGTGATCAAGGGCCATAACTCTGTCAGTAATTATCGGAAATCGCTGAAAATCAATAGGCTTCTTCGTCTCATGACCTTAAACACTGTGTATAAATTTAAGGTCAACAATATACGACCACATTTCAATGTGGGCGTATAATAAAATGGTTAAGAATCATGAACCATATCTTTGGCTGAAGTAGGCCATCCATCGTGAATGTATGAAATTAACTGAAAACACGTAGGATCACTAACAATAGCATCTTTAAGTTCTGTAGACTTAATAACTGTATCACTGGCTGAAAGCATAATATGACAAACGGCGTCTATCGCTGAAGTTGAGGTAATTAAAGGTAAACAACTTAACGCGTCGGCCACTTTATTTTAAGAACCGGGTTTGAACTCAATTGTGTAGTTGTAATGAGGTAACCGTGTATTCCATCGTGCAATACGCATTGGTTTATGACCTGGACCGGAAGTACCTAATAAAGCGGTTAGAGCTCGATGATCTGTACGTTATACGAACTTTTGATCCCACAAATATGTATGCCATTTTTCATCTGACCATACACACGCAAGTGCTTCGCGTTCCCCGACTGAGTAGTTTTTTTCAGCCGGAGTAAGACTCCTAGACACACAAGCTACAAGAACCTCGCTGTAACGACGACAGGTTAATCAGGATCAAATAAGGAGAGGACTGGACGAGAAAGAATTTGATTCTTGATCGTTGAAAACACTTTGTCGGCATCGGGTGTCCATACCAATTTATCGGCTTGCATAGCAGATCGTAGCGGTTGAATTACCATAGTGAAATTAGGAACAGATTTAGAATAGTATCCCGCTAGACCAAGAAATGAACGACATTGGTCCTTTGTAGAAGGAACGGGTGCTTCGCGGATAGCTTGCACAAGCTCCGGATTTGGACGATTACCGTCGGCATCGATAACATGACCAAGTACGTGTAGTTTGGAAACATTAAATTCGCACTTTTCGTTTAAAGTTATGCCGGAATTACGAAGATTTGACAAAACTCTGCATAAATTTTCATCATGTTCAGCTTTATTACGACCGTAACTATATCATCAAGATTACATATTGTACTGTTTAATTTACTCAAAATCCGAGACATCACTTTTTGAAAAAATGCCGATGCTGAAGCGAGTCCGAAACAAACACGTTTGAATCAGAATAAGCCGTCATGTGTAATGAAAGCTGTAAGATCTCGGCTCTCTTTACTTAAATTAAGCTGGTGATAGGCCGATTTGAGGTCTAATCGTGAAAAAACTGTAGCGCCGTGCATTTCACTAATAATTTCATCTATATTTGGAAGTGGGTATTTATCAATAACAATAGACTTGTTAGGTTTCTTAAGATCTACGCAGAGGCGAATTTCTCCTGATCTTTTCAATAATATCCACCCGTTCTAATGCCTTGATGCAATCAGAAACCGCCTCACGAACTACGAACGGTAACTGTCATAATTTCTGTTGGATAGGTTTAACGTCAGGCTTAATTTTAACAGTATGTGTAAACCCTTTAACTGTACCTAACTTATCACTAAATAATTCAGGATATTCATTCTTAATAATATCTGAAGGTGAAATAATATCTGTACTAGACGATGGACAATCATTTGCATTAGTACGTGGAAAAACGGAAGTAGAATGACAAGATAAAAGTACTACCCTCAATATTAATACTCAGTGACTGAATGATATCTTTACCGATTAAACTTGCACCATTTCCAACAATATAAAATATGCAATTTGAACAATGATCATTATACTCGACACATGCATTAAAGATAGGTTGCCAGGCAACAAAACATGCGCCCACAGCAGCTAAATCGTCCGAGCGGTCGTCAAGGGTTGTCGCATATTTATTCCTTTGTACGTAATTGGGGGTCTTTACAAGACAGTTCCATACAGATCAGATTATAAATTTTGTCGTTTGAGGATTTACAAGGTTCTACAAACTGAAAAAAGGGTCTCAACTCTGGAAGTAATCTACAGAAATTGTTGAAATTTGACAGGCTTTTTCGTTTTACTAATTTAAATAATGCATATAAATTTCATAAAGATCACATGATCACTTTTGTCATTCAAACGTTCACAATCGCCATAACTCTAGAAATTATTGACGGAAATTGCTGATATTCAATAGACCTGTTTCACAAATTTAAATGATGCATATAAATTTCATACATATCTGATGATAACTATCATCAATCGAGCATTATCAAGGTTAAACAAAGTGAAACAAGGACAATAACTCTAAAAGTAATTAATGTAAATTGCTGAAATTCAATAGGCTTTTTTGTTTCGCTAATTTAAATCATGCATATAAATTTCACAAAGATCGGGTGATAACTTTTTGCGTTTGAGCGTTCACAAGGATCAATAAAGTGAAACAAGGGCCATAACTCTAGACGTAATAAACGGAAATGGCTGAAATTCAATAGGCTTCTCCGTTTCACTAATCTAAATAAGTAATATAAATTTAACAAAGATCGAATGATAACTTTTGGCGTTGTAGCGTTCACAAGGATCAATAAAGTGAAACAAGGACCATAACTCTAGACGTAATAAATTTCAGAAAGATCGGATGATAACTTTTGACATTGGAGCGTTCACAAGGTTCAATAAAGTGAAACAAGGGCCATAACTCTAGACATAATAAACGGAAATTGCTGAAATTCTATAGGCTTCTTCATTTCACCAGTTTAAATAATGCATGCAAATTTCAGAAAGATTGGATGATAACTTTGGGATTTAGAGCGTTCACAAGGTTCAATAAAGTAAAACAAGGGCCATAACTCTAGACGTAATCAACAGAAATTGTTGAAATTCAATAGGCTTCTTCGTTTCAGTAATCTAAATAATGCATATAAATTTCAGAAAGATCGGATGATAACTTTTGGCGTTAGAGCGTTCACAAGGTTCAACAAAGTGAAACAAGGGCCATAACTCTAGACGTAATAAACGGAAATTGTTGAAATTAAATAGGCTTCTTTATCTCACTAATGTAAACAACATATATCAATTTTAAAACAATTAGATGATAACTTTTGTCGTTAGAGCGTTCACAAGAAATTGTGAACGATGGACGGACGGACAGACGGACGGACGGGGGCGACGGCAATATACGTCCACATTTCAATGTGGGCGGATAAAAAGTACCAATGATATCGATAGAATGGGAAGTGTAACTTCTTAACTGTGTATCTGAAGAAGACTGAATAACATCTCTTAGAAAATATCTATCAAATAAGTGAACATTCAATAACGAAACATCAGAAGCTGTATCAACTGTAAGGTTGATTTCAACAGTGTTAATTTTAAAGGGACAATAACACTCTGGCTGGCTTGACAGCTCCAGAAAATAGAAATATAGCCTTATTCTAAGTACTAGATGTGTTAGTGTCTTACCTGATGTGTTAATTATCCATTAAATCCTATTTTACTTGTCCAAAGGGTTCGAAAGTATTTTTTAAGTCCAAATCCAGTTGAATTGTCTAACATCAGACGATTCAAATAATCTAAGTCATTTCTATCAAGGGAGGTAATAAACTCCAGATTTGATTGACTTCCTGTTCTAAAAATAGCTTTCCATGATGTCATAAGGGGGATATCCTCAAGTGTTGTGCGGTTTATTGTCGCAAATAAATAAATACGTAATGTCAACGGGAATGTGAAAGGAAATGGGGATTAATATGACTTGGATTACCACACAATTAATTCAAACTTATTAATAACATTCTAGACAGTCCGTCTTAGGTCTAATTAGCCTGAATTGGACACGTAGAGGTGTCAATCAGCTAGATCTCTATCTATCTATTGTCATTGACTACATGTATTGTCCTCGAGTTCGAACAGTGTGATTTTTTTCCTTCGATTGACAAGTCTAATTAACTGTGGTACGAATTGAAGGAGAAACTGAAAATAGAGACTCATCATGAGAATCTATATTCAGCTTATTATTACCATTGGAATGGGAAACGTTTCGTTTTGAAAAATATTACTGTTTATAAATATTATATCTTTATAAAACGTGGGGATCACGGTGGCTATTTGGGTAAGACACTGGCTCGCTAGCCTGGAGGTCGGGTGTTCGATCCTTGCATTTTCCGAGAAAGTTCATCCAGAATTTCCGACGTGGTTCCCCCTTGTCAGTGATGCAGGACAGAGGGCCTAATAAGGACAGCTGTCTAGTCGTTCGAGGGGACGAAAAACTGAGGTCCCATGTACACATTGGCCTGCACGTAAAAGATCCCTTTACAGTTGCAATTCGATATAAGAGTAGGCCGTAGTGCCGCTGTCCAGGCAAATTTCCCTCATAGCACACTGTATGGCGTATGCCCGTCTTCATTAGCCCAGTTCGGAGCAGAACAGTAGGACGTTAAACTCCATTTCATTTTATAAAAGATGTGAAATATTGTTTCTATTTCTTTACCATTGTTTAAATCGTTAATATTTGGGACCTAGAAATCGACACAAATGGGTCGCAACGTTTATAATAATGTAATATATGTGTACATATAAACTGATTTACAATTTCCATTCAATCATTTCTGTTTTTACTGTAAATTCTAATCAGTTATGTTCAACGACTTGCCCCAAAAGTATCAATGGGACGGCAAACTATTTATTACGCAGGCTCTCCACCTAAGAATATGGGGTCACCGTCCTGACTTGTGGAATATGTCTAGCCCTGTTATTTGAGTTCTTTGTTACAAATGGTAAACATGTAAAATGTTCATTTTGTCTTAAATATTGGATGTCAGAAGCCCATCTTTTCCCAGTAAAATCACAACATCAATGTCGATTTAAATTGACAAATAATTTGTGTCAGACTTTGGATGATATTGGGTTAGAGACTTAGCTACTGTACTTTAATCTAGATGGTTGAATATCTCATATGAGCTATGGTTTATTAGTAACCTGAATCTAAATTTAATTATTGTAAGGTTTTCTTTTACTATCTTGTATAATAACTAATATTAACAGACAATTTTTTGATGAATGACTGGTGAATGTATTTATTTTTTCAAGCTATTAGCGGAATTTGTGTACCTTCAAATGCTGGAGCACTGCATGTTTCAGAACTATCATCCATTCATGGCAGGTAATATTTGTACAGCAACTAATTAATTGTTTTTTGACAATTATGTTACATGTAGATCACCCTGGGCTGTTTCATCCCAAAATGACATGGGTCGTTTCATTCCACTTATGTAGGGTGTGTTTCATCTCACTTATATAGGGTCGTTTCATCCCATAAATTTAAAAACGAGGATTATATGAAAAAACACTAACACAACTTTTATATGAATTTTTAATATTTTATTTATATTAGGTACCAGCAGCTAAATTTTCAAACTTTAGAAATGTTGATTTTTTTGGCATAAATTTACTTATTTATGACCCAAATTGAAGCACAGAAAATTTAAGTCAATTATCTTTACCGTTTTTTGAGATATGGGGCGGGGTTCTCCTGCCCACACCCAGGGGTGTCAAAAAATCACGAAGTAGCGTTTTCAAAGTATAATAAATAGAAAAATAAATACAAAAACATAGTTGTTTTGTAATTTCCTGGTAGACTTTACCCCTGGGTACTAGTAAAACAAACATCAGATCAATTTTTTGATTAAGAGACTTTCAAAAATGCCTATTTTGCTCATTTTGAGGGGCCACAAATAGTCGTCGGGCATTTTCAGATGATGTTTATTTTTCAAATAGTCCTTTCAATACAGATCAAATCACATTTTCCCACACAGATCTTTCCAGAAATATTAGTCAAATTAATTTGGGGATCCTTTATGAAAAATAAAGGGGATAGATATAAGATAAGGGTCAAAACATGGTGTTGGACCCATTATTGACCGAGTGGACAAAATGCCGAAAAATGAGTAAAAATTGCAAAATACCAACATCTTTAGTCTGCTACCAAAATGTTATTTCTTGATCGATTTGAATAAAAATTTGCATCAAGGTTAATATGAGGCTTATGTCTGCAATGAAACAATCAGAATTGAGCTATCTATTATGGTTTGGGGGAGAGGACAGGAACAAGGAGGTATTAATGACAAAAATCGCAAAATTTGCTGAAAAAGACATATTTTCAGATAGCCACCAAAATGTATTTTATTGGCAGATTGCATTAAAAATTGGCATGTAGACCAATACTGGGCTCCTGTATCCACTGTAATAACCAGAATAGAGCTATCTGTTATGGTTCTGGGTAAAGGGCATGGGGAAGAAGGTAATGATTTCCGAAGTTTGAACATGACAAAGTGTGGAGGAAAAGGTAATTTTAGATGGCTATACCAAATTATAACTTTTTCGCAGACTTGTTGATCCCCCAAATCCAATAAAATCTCCAAAACTGAGCTACATGAGATTGCTTTAGAGTAAGATAATGCATTTTTTGTTTTAATTAAATTAAAAACTTTTTTTTAAAAAATCCATTCAACGATTAATATTGAAGAAGTTTCGGTGGCAGTGCCGTCTTTAAAAGTACTATATTTATCAATATATCACTGGCTATATAAACCCGTGTCTCCTGAGATAGGCTAATGCAAATAATGTTAACTTTATCAAACCTGAGCATTATATTATAAAGAAACTGCATATTAATTATATTATGCTTAGGTTTTATGCATAATATAATTAATATGCAGTTTAATATAGAAACTCTGAAAAACATCATAATATAATAAAGATAGAAACTGTATAAAATCAGAGCAAATGTAGTTTGTTTATTTTTTGGTTGGTCTCATCCAATCACAGGGCAGAATTCAGTCACGTGATCCAGCAATATCGTTAATCTAACTTTTTTCACCGGACCGTACTACATAATTCAAAGGGACAAACATTAGTGAAGCTATTAATTTGGATCGAGAAATATGTCTACTAACACAACATACCATTCATTCGGCACCAATGTGTCCCCAAAAAACTGAATCGACAGTTAATTGACGGCGATTTGACAGCCGATTTTTAACGTACCGGTACGCGAGGATTTTGGCATTTTTGCCGTGGTGTAACCCTCCGCTAAATCAAGATTTCAACGTTAATAATATTATTATTTTATTGCCATGTTAATAAAAAAACATCCTAGGGGATTAATTTTACACAAAACGACTTTTACAGGGCATTATTTACCCATAATAAGGATCTTTTTGGCTAAAAAGCGGAGTGACCTAATTCCGATCTGGGATGTCGTCATTCGTCTGCTACGGAAGGTAGCTCAACGACGACTGCGCATTACGTGATGTTAAACAGGTTGCGTTATTTTCAAAGGATCGTATTGAATTTTAGCTTTGAAAATTTTTGTTGACTTTCACGGCAAAATTAGAAACTTCGGAGAATTTTTTTTTTATGCAAATATGATACGAATCAAAAGCTTGATTCAAGGGCTAAATAAATATTCAGGCCACGATGTGTCAAGGCCATTGGCGCCGTAGCGCGAATCAAAATATTGCCACCTCTGTGTTTTGGACTAAATTTTAATGACGTTACAATTAAGTAAATTACGTAATGCCAGGAATTACCGCAATTTCAACATTTATTTTTTTATATCTTTCAAACATAAATGCAGTCATGTTAGGTATCATTAGAAAGAAGATAAAACAAACATTCTATGAATATAAATTATCTTTTAAAAACTATAAGAGTGATAGCTGTACTAATGTTGGAAAGTTGACTGACTTTCTGTAATTAGCGAAGTCGTCATTGTTTTCCAGTAGGCTTGGCTGGTATTTGCCGGTACCTATTTATATAGTAATAACAATTTTATCACTGTTTCGAATTATTCAATGACATTATTGCCTCAGTGAAATTATTGTTTCCTTCACTTTGCATTATATCCATTATTACTACACCTTATTTTTTGTCACAATATTTTTCCAACTCTGTGAAAATCTTAGATGTTGGTAAGCTACCAGACACTTTCATCATTAACATACTGGTAATGATATCGTCACTTTTACACATGATAGTACCAATTATTACAACTAATTTTGTTTTTGTAGTACTGATACAGACAAGGGAAAGAACAGGCCTCCTGAAATGTCTACAATCTCTGTATGAATTAGCTCCTTTCAAGATGATATAACTCAAGAACAATAAGTACCCTAGTAAGTTTGATTGGATAGATGAGTTAAATTACAACTTTAGAATCAAATAAAGTGTTGTAAAAATTTGTATTAATTGACAAACCATCCTGGAACAATTTTGATGTCTTGAATTTACTATCTTTATAGGGCCAGACTCGATGATAAAGGCAAAACGGGGCGAAAATGACCACTAGACCAGGATGGTCCTTGATAGATTGCAGACACAGATGCAAAACCCCAGCCAGAACCAACTTCAGAGACAGCCATGAAACAGAAAACCAGATTTTAATGTAAGTATTTTCATAATAATCGTCTTCGATTAAAACCCATGCCATTTCTGTCTTGAAATGATAATCCTATTTTCAGAACACAACAGGAGGGTACTACTACTCTATTCCCTGTACCACCTAAGGTTGCAGCGATACCCCGGGGATGCCGCATAATCACGATTATTTTTTAAATTATAATATCGTATCGGCCCAAAATCAGATAATCGCCATCCCCAGTATATCGGGACATTTGTTCAGTTATCGCGATAAATCTAATAATCGCCAGACCACTGATTATTGGGAGAATAGATGTTATTTTAAATCAATAACATTCATCGATAGTAACTCTGACAAGTTCATTTCCGGTGTGGCGGAAGATGCTAGGCAACTGTTATAACTGATCATCCAGTCTCTTTTCTCATAATATATTATAACGAATCGTACTCGGGTTCAGCAACTGGAATAATTTTTTATATGTTCAAGTGTTTTGGTTTTTTTTTTTACAATTTTAGTTGCTTATCTTTATAATCATACAAACCAATATCAATCAAAAGTATATATTAGCTGATATTTTCGTATTTAGACAACTACGCTTATTGGAAACACGTACAATCACACTGTCCAATAGGCTAACATATTCGAAGCTGGTCAATCTAGTCAATGCTCAATTCCCCGGATGTTTCAATTTTCTTTCTTGTCATGCCGTCACCGTTTCTATATACATTAGCAAGATACAGAACTTGTGGCTCTAAACAATACTGTTCAAACTCCTGAAAAAATTAAATTAAAGATACATTATGCGAGATTAGATAACGAGTTGGCAGTTCTAACTATAATAGTTAAAAACTAGATAATGTAAAGGCAATTTGCTGAAGATTTCAGCCAAATTGATCCACTATGAACCGAGAAATAAGCGATCAAAAGTTCCACATAGCCTTGGTCATCATTACTAAAGTCGGTACGACAAAAATCAGTCTCGATTATCCATTTAATCGTTAAATCGAGAAGGAAAGTTAAGCAGCAAATCGGATCATAATGCAACAAATATCGCAGGTTAGCGTTGACATCGAGAGTTGATTATGGTCAGGATACGTTAATTAATGTCTAATGAATAGTTTGTATAACATTTCAGGCCTAAAGAAAGACCTACAATAGGCATATTTAGCTCTTGCATAATGTATATTTAACTATTTTTAAAATCTATTTTCAGTAAACCAGCCAATTTGAAGTGACTGAAATGAAGGCTGCAGAACTTCCTGCTGCCGGTACTATCCGGGCCAATGACATTAATTTTTGTGGATGAAATATATCAAAGGATATTATTACAGAAAAAAATCACTTACTGGTGGTAATGAAATACAATTCTCTAGTCTGGTACCGCAACATAACTTCTCAATATCTGTTGGCATATCTCCACATCTGTCATAGGAACACCAATCTGGTGCAGTTGAGGTTGGATATGGGGGTTGGATTGGCTGTTGGTTTCTTAGTTCTTCAGAAATGTCAAATGTGGCATTTTTTCAGCCACAGACAACAAAAGTATCCTACATCCATCCACTTACCAGTTTCTGAAATTATTTGAAAATTATGTTTGCAATTTGTAAATAATTATCTCTGGGCTCACATACTGTGTAAATATTTTATATAATTATGACCAGAAATGATCATATATATATTTGTTATATAATTACAAGAAAGTGCGTGAATAATAATCCATTGTGAGCTTACAAAATATTTCTTTATATCTTAAAAATTTGTTTTCATAAATATTCTTGCTTGCTGTTTCTGTGTATATATTTTACAACTATTAAAAAAGGGTTTTCTTACCTTCAGTCCCTCAGTTTTTTTCTTTTTTGAGTCTTTCGACCCTCTCCCTTGTTGCCTCAGTTTTCCCTTTTTGTCTTTTCCCTCTTTTTGGTCTCGGAGGGGTGGTTTCGGATGACGTTACATGTAATTGCAGCTTCCGTAAAGATCTAATTGTCCTTGATGTGGATGATGCTGATCATGTTGAAGGTTGGGCAGCATGAGTTGCTTCTGGGTCTGGCATAATTGGTAAAGTAGAGACGGTGGGGGTGGGGGGATGTCAACATCTGGTAATGAATTACATGATTCCACCTGGCATGCCCAGCAAAAGAATGGTAGATCACTCCCACTTTTGACTGACCTCAAATAGACAGCTTTCGAAATACCTGTAAAACCAAAATGCACACAAGAAATTTGTCGGACCTGTTCTACATGTCTTAGGTGTCCATTTACCACAGGCATCACAAGTAACTGCTTCTTCATTGGCACCAATGAATTTATTAAACACATAGGACACTGTCAGTCATAATAATTATCAAGTTCAAAAGTGCAGAAATAAATCTAATGAATGATTCATTTGTTGTTGTTGTTGTTCTCAGCGTTTAACGTCCGCTTCCACCGAAGGTGATATCGCAGAAAAGTCTTATTTTTCATTTTCATTATCTTAGCGCACGCGCGGGGGTCTTTCCTGTGGGATGAAACCGGAGTACCCAGAGTAAACCCACGAGGTTGAGAAGGCGCCCCTATCTCCAGGCCACATACGCTCACACCAGGGATCGAAACCACAGCCGCAAGCCAGAGGTGACCGCCCAGCTAGAGGTCGAAGCGCGGCACTCTAGACCACTAGGCCATCCCAACCCCCCCCATGATTCATTTAATTTGATATTATTTATATATTTTGAGGGTGAAACCATGTTGAAATTCAAGAAGTTTAAAATAATCAGCTTCTATGATTACTCATTATCAATTTAAAAAATGCAGGTGGGTGAAGCCATATCGGTCTTAGGTCTAATCAAAGCTAAAAATGAACCCAATCATCAAATTTTAAAGATAATCTGTCTGTTTGATCCATCAATTAGGTACCGGTAACCAAACCAAGTGCAGTCATGCAGTGAATCGAGTGACTGATAATAATTTAGTCGAAGTAGGCCTACCATTACAAATGACAATCATTCAATCTAAATTCAGATCATTCACTTTGCACTTCGTTGCCGACTTTAAAGCCATGAGAGCATAAGTAAATAATCGTAATGAATATAAACTTACCAGAAAAAATGGATTCATGGTTTGGCATGAATCGTAGCAGTTCAAGTTCCATATCCTCTAAAACTGTCAGCTAGATGTATAAACATTACAGAGCGAGGAGTATTTGACGTTTTGCGTATGCGCTACAATGGGATTCTCTCTTTTCCGCTTTGTAGATTGTTTTTACCAGTCTCTCATAGTGAACTTGGTGAGAACACCATCCACCCAACAGAATTTTTCCATTTTTTTTAAATACCGTTGATAAGATCATGCATATAACACTAATGAATTGGGATATTGTATAATAGTACAATTTGTTGAACAAAATGAAGATTTGGACATATTATTCAGTTACAGCAAGAGTGTTATTGTCCCTTTAACAGTGCACTGAACGGCTGGTTTTGTAATTATGTTCGAATCTGTAGATAAAACCTGGAGGCTATCATTACTGGATTCTGTTGTAACAGTTGAACTTGATTCCGGTGGTTCTAAATAATGGATTTGATTGACTCTTAGATGCATACACACTGTAAAATAATGTCCTGGTCTGCCACATTTAGCACAAGCAGCAGCATTTTTACCTGGGCATTGTGGGAAATTCGCTAAATGAGCTGTAGAACCACATCTGTAACACTTAGTAGAATGTAGACCGGGCTTACTCTCTGACATATAATTTGAATTCTGTATAGGTTTAGTACGACCTTTAAATCTTGATTTCGACTTTGTAAAGTCAATTTGTGAACACGTTGTTGAAGTTGTAGGTGTATGTGTAGGACGATTAAAAGACTTTGCTTCTCTCATTGCAGTTTCAACTTGAAGAGCAATTTCAATTGCTTTGTCGAGACTCAGATCTGGTTCTAGCAAAAGTCTCTCTCGAATTCTAGAAGAGTTTGTTTTTTCAACCAATTGGTCCCGTAGCATCTCATTTGTAAATGTACCAAATGAACAAGTTGAGGCAAGGTCACGTAACGTGGCTATGTATTTAGAAACTAGCTCACCTGGAAACTGTGCGCGTTGCCGAAATCTGTATCGTTCAGAAACTACGTTAATTTTAGGTTTGAAATGGCACCATAATGTATTCCAGTGCTTCACGTTTAAAAAAAATAGAGGAGCCATAAAAAGCTCTTCTAAAATTACAACAGCTGAAAATCGCTCCTGCAAAAATAACACTTCTCAACTCAAAATAGAGGAGCAATCCATTATTTAGAAGGACCATTCATGTATTTTATACTATACTTTGACCATAGATGAAGCCATTTATTGACCATTAATACTTAGAAATTAAAGATATGTGTTTCGATATTTATTAGAATAAATAAAAAGAAAAAGTCTATAACTTGTGAGGTCTTCATGTAGTGTAGGCCATCGAAAGTATAAAAAAACGAAACGAAATATAGATATGTATCTTAATCAGATTGGACTTGATGAAAACCATAAACAAAAGTCACAGAAAAAATCTTAAGTTTAACTTTGACGCCCTGATAATTTTGGCACAAAGTCTGCACCGTAACAGTTCGATGTTTCCCGTTTAGTGTCCATTCGATGTTTCCCGTTTAGTGTCCAATGAAAAAATAAACATTGAAAAAATTCAGAACAATGTTCGCAAATGAAGTTTATGTATAATTACTATAATTTACAGGACAATTTGAGCAAATTAAACAATTTGGTCCAAAGAGTATTTTATACATACATGTATATAATTTTTAGCGTAAATAAGTCAGAATGTGAGAAATGAATTCCAGGGGGCACGATAAACTGTCCTCTGCACGTGATTAATGATAGTATAGTGTCATGCACAGGTGCAACGACATGTTTGATATTCCATTTTATACCGATATTTTAGAATCCAAATTCTACACATTTCTTAACGGCAGGGTCATAGACCTCTAAATTAAACTTAAAACATGATTTGAGACGCATGTCTTACTAAGCGGAATTCACATCAAGACTTACAGCTAGTGTGGCGTTTCGCGCGAATTTTAAGTCCTGCCGATGTCGAAGAAATTAATTACGATATTGACATCGATCAAAATAAGAATCAAAACCATTTAATCGTGTTTGTGTGCATGGATAATGTGTGACGTGGAAATTTTGAAATTAGTCTCGCTTAACCAGTTTATCGACCATTCTACGTCTGATTGACAGGTTGGGATAATCAAGACTACTTTTTTACAAAACATAACAGAAAGCTAGAACAAGAAATTGAATTTAGAAATAAGCACGTTAGCTAGCTCAACAATTGTTTTAAGAAGCTTGTAAAAGTAAAATGAAATTTATAATTTGAAAATAATAGAAAATCGTGTGAGAAGCTTGAATCGTCGATGCAACTGCATACGTGATCAATTGAACATTTGGAAAACTGTTCTGACTGTATCTATTTTCTTTCTTTTTTGTACGTATTTATTTGAAGGTTCAATAATTATTCTTGGATTCGACATAATCATTGTTTTGTTGGTCATATTCAACCAAGAGGAAATTTCAAAACAATGGCTGAATGTTCGCTACACAACTATTTTTTTCATTGGTTAGAGGGGTCTAACCGCGGGAAAATTTACTGTTACTATTGGCTGACAGCATGCATGCACAAATCAAACAAGCTTATTTGCATATTGCATGCTTTATAGTATAATGGTAGGGTGACCCACCATAAATAAATATCTCCAAATATCTCGACAATTATGCCACAATATTTATATATATGCCAAGCCTCAAATCAGTTTCACACAATTATAGTCACTAAATAAAAGTTCATGTTGTACTTAATAAGCTATGACCATTAATCATCTATAAATAATAGACTGAAAACTGGTTCCAAGTGTCGTCCATAACATCCAGACACTTTTGAGTAAAAGGTAGGTTACGTGCCCTTGTTTTGAAATTAGTCTCGCTTAACTAGTCTATCGACCATTCTACGTCTGATTGACAGGTTGGGATAATCAAGACTACTTTTTTACGAAACATAACAGAAAGCTAGAACAAGAAATTGAATTTAGAAATAAGCACGTTAGCTAGCTCAACAATTGTTTTAAGAAGCTTGTAAAAGTAAAATGAAACTACTGCTAGTATCATGTTCCTGTCTAACCCGAGTGTTTCAGAGATATTATTTGTACTAAACCAAAAGATGCCGCTCTTAACGGTACAGTTAATGATAAAGCGATTTAAAAAATGAAACGAACGTAATTTCTAAATCTGCTGTAATAACCAAGAAGCTTAATTTTACTGCTATTCAAAACCGTCAACAATAAATTTTTTACGGCTGTAATAGTTGATAGATTTGTAGAGAATTGCACGTGCCATGGCTATTTATAGTATCATACTGTCAGAAAGTTGGTCTCGACACGGCGAATGTGCACGCTTCTGTGGTAGTCTCGAACTATCAGCGGTGGGCTGTATTTCTGTAGAGTGCATGAGTCACCCTAATAATGGCTGGATCGGTAACCTCAACGACCAACATGTATTATATTCCATATATGCCCTTCGGGCATCTCGGATTTATATTGCATATTTCTCATTGTTCTTTCAAACCATGCACAATCGCTCAAACTTTAAAGGCTAAATAATAGCTCACCGAATCGGCGTGTATAAACACGTGACCACGCTCTATATAAACGATCACAGCACTTTCAGTATTGTCTTTTTCTCTTTTGATCTAGACCGTGCACATTCGTGTGTTCGTGATAACGCTGTTATCATGTTCTTAAATTTTCTTTCTATTGTGTTCAATTTGTGTTGATCATTTATGTTTTATCATGGACCTGTATTTTTAGGTCCATTTATATTATCTACCTTCGTTTTCATCGTCAGGTATGAGGTAGAATCGCTGATTCACCGTTTTTTTTTGTTTGTTTTTAGTCGCGGTCATCACTAAGTGTTGACTTTAAATTTCACTCTTTATATGGAGGAAAGCGATTTTTAGGGATTCTGCGAGGCAGATCTTTTAAATGATCATAATGTAACCGCAAACTTGCTAGATTTAAATGTTGTAATTATTATACAGCTTTTTTAGACAAGATATTATAATATATTCCCCATGAGTGGGACAATCGAGAATAAACCGGATGTTTACAACAGCAGTCCGATGATGGAGGTATACTTCCGATTCCGAACTCGATAACATTTTTAACATACCCATAAATAAAAACGAGCGTAATAACGGGATTTTTTCCGCTAAAAGGTCTGTAAAGGCCTTTAAATCTCATAAACCAGAATTGAACGCCAATAATATAGTTGGGTTTGTAACTTTATCCAATTCAATTGTGTTGAGTTGACAGAATTTGATTGATATATGATCATGTTCATAATGAAAAAAAAAAAAAAAAAAATCAATGATGATAATGATGATCGTAATGTTAACATAATATTACCGGTACTGATTATTAACATAATATTAAAAATAATAAAGAGGGTTACCCTTATATTAGTAGTAATAATAAGTATATAAGTAGATCAAATAAAAAAGTTGTTATTAATAAGCCTGCAACAAATAATGTCGTTACGACAAAATGAGCCGTTACGGCCCCTGCTATAGTATAGGCTTGAATCATAGTGAAATTAATATTAATTTACATTATTACCGGTACTGATTATTAACATAATATTAACAATAATAAGGAGGGTTACCCTTATACTATTAGTAATAATAAGTATATAAGTAGATCTAATAAAAAGGTTGTTATAAAGAAGCCTGCAACAAAAAATGTTGTTATGACAAATAATGCGCCGTTACGGCCCCTGCTATAGGCTTGAATCATATTCATAGTGCAAGTAATATTATTTTGCATTATTACCGGTACTGATTATTAACATAATATTAACAATAGTAAAGAGGGTTACCCTTATACTAGTAGTAATAATAAGTATATAAGTAGATCTAATAAAAAGGTTGTTATTAATAAGCCTGCAACAAATAATGTCGTTACGACAAAATGAGCCGTTACA